AGTCCTTTTGGTCTTCTCACAGTGTCAGTGCTAACTAGTGACTCTGCAAACAGGCTGTCATATTTTGACTAGACAATTCGCCTATAACCTAAGATTTCTCTCTGTTCTTTTGTTGATGTAACCAGGTGAAGGATGTGGTGAAGATTATGGAACCGAGACTGAGTTCAGTCGTCTTATCATGTGAAATCCCATTACATCTGAATCAAAATATCACAGGACTCGACGTCACAATACACCTTATTATGGCGTCCAGTGAAATCGGGAAGGCGTTCTCTTCAAAAAACTGGTTCAGATCACTTAAACAATCAATCAAACCTGGAGCAATCCTAATTAATGATAAATGGCCAAAGGGTAAGTGAAACAAGTAGTCTGTATCCAATTACTAGGCATATACTAGTGGTTGGTAGAGTGACTGCTTTCATTTGTGAAAGAATTAAGCGATCTGTTGATTTGGGTGAACAGGATTTCGTCAGGTTAATGGTATCGATTGATGAGCACACTAATCTATTTTTAGTTGTTAACAGTGTGAATAAGGCATTGAATAGTGCTAATGTATGAGAGTGGTTTATTTGTGAGCATACTAGTGGTAGTTTTATGTCTCCATGTAACTTTACGCAAATGCGTCGATGTTTTCGAAAGTCGATTCAATTAAGTTTATTTCATTTGATTACAGCTATTGTGTCAGTAAAGAGTAAGTCGATGATTTGTATACTATTTTCATGTGTTTTCTATTTCCACTGGTGCGAAGGAAACTCATACGTGCAAATGGAACTATAAATTGTGAATACTGTCGTAGTGAATGCGATAATATTTGATATTTTCTCAGTATTACTAGTTTTCTTTCGGGTCCCGGACGGAAAATAAATCTTCAGAAGCATATCTTCATTTGAGTCTGTTCTCTGAAGTCTTTTACACTCAGCTGTAAAACTGTTCATATGCTTTCATGGCCCCTTTACGCCGTCTGATATTCGGACTCACACCCAACTCGTTGTTTCCCTTTCAGGCTCCTCTTGATGGCCTGCAACATAATGTTACTCAACAGTCTCTGAGCATTTCAAATCAATCTTCCTCCACATTTGTTGGGTGATATATCACAAGCTGGCCTATTACCAGAGTTCCTTGCTGTTAACCTCCTCCAACCGACTATCTGATATTCACTGTGAAGAGAAGGCATCTGACTGACTTGACATTAGTACTGAGAATTTGGATCTTGTTATTTATACGGAGGTCAGCCATTTTTCACACCAATTTCAAATGAATCAAGGTCTCTCTTGCCTCTCGGTTCCTGCATTTGACAACGTCCTCAGTGGCACTTTTAGTTAACAAATTTACACTCAGATAAGTGAGAGAGGTGACTCCCTTTAAGTTTCCCTCGTTGATGGCGACCAGGGCTTGCTGTTTTCGATTAGGTATCTTTATCACCTCTGTCTTCTCTTCATTCACTCAAAGTGCTTTCTTCACTGCTTTCTCCGCCAAATCGTTGGTCTTTGCTTTTAGATCTCAGAGTTCATGCTTAGTTTTACTTTTATCAAAAGAAGATGCTTCGGCTGACCGTCTGATCGGAGGCTTTCATCAGTCTGCACAATTTCGTCTCCCTAACTCTAGGGAAGTAATACATTTAGAGTTCATTCCTTTCCTTTCTGAACTTTGTACCGGCTGGTATATTAGTAAACTAGTAAACTTAGCGAGGTTTGATTTTAATTCCCGAATCAGAACTTTTAGCTTACATCTGTCACATTCTCACCTGAACGATCTGAACACATTTCTGATGATTCAAATCATTTTAGTTATGTGACTATAATCCTCCGTCAGAGGGAAGTATTTTGGTTATTACAAAGCTCGAATTTAATCGATATGGCGATGCTTGCAACAATAAGCAAAACCCTATACTCCCAAATTCGTGCTCCGGATTTCTGAATACAGAGTGTATTATTATTGTTTGCCTATGGAAGAGTTCAAGTAGATGGGAGTGAATCAGCGTGTGTAAAAAGAAATGACGAAATTTCTGCATAACATTGAAGAATGGAGTGCTTTCATCCTTTCAATCATGAAATAAACCGACTGACTTTGTTGTTCCATTATGGGGAATGTAATGCAACATTCACAATAGGGTTTACTATCTTTTCAGCATCACCTGTAGGAATAAATCATTTGTTTGGATTTCACCACATGAAACAGCAAAGTCTGCATTAATTCACTGGTAATTTACTCATTCAGATGCCAATTTTAGATGGAGAGTCTATGCCAAATAACACCTATGAACTGAATCGTATACCTGAAACCTCATAGTACCGGAAGATACTTAGTTAGGAACATCCTTGCCTGATTGAATAATTTGGCCTTTAACGATATTTGTCAGTTGTTTGCTGTAGAAGTCTTGTGCCTCGAACAGTATTAGTTATTTCTAAGCATTTGAGTTTTTTTAACATCGATAATCAGTGATTTATTGTTTCATCACCAATTATACTTTTCATTTCATTTTCAGAAAAGGCATGGAGAAACGCAGGTGAGAAGATGACGGAATTTTTTGATGAGTATTGTGACATTGTTGGAGCGTTTTGACTCTATGCCAGTTATTGATCGATGTGTATTAACTAACGACTAGACGTATTCTCTCACTGAACACTGAGAAAATATTAGATCGGCGTTTTTAGAAATACTCAATTTTCAGTCCTGATGTGTGTGTATGTTGTGATTGAAAGTGCATATAGACGACTACATAATCAGGGGACCTCAATAATGAAATAAAACAAGGACAAACAGCGTTGGTATCAAACTACTGTCACATAAGATTTAATTAGTTGATCGAAAATGCTCATCGGATTAGAGAAAAGTAAAAATGGAACTATTGGCCATAAAATAAATAAGAAAGAGTATATGGCATTTATGCTTTCACCAAATTAGGAAGGGATGTCTAAAACCTTGAGTAGGATTCCCAGTAAAGCAAAAATTAGAGTGATGTTTTAAGCCTAAAGTTTCACTCAGAGATACACTCTCTAGGTTAAAAGACTCTAATGACAATGTATTTTAAAGAATACCTTCCAACGACTGTGAATCCAACTGCATGGATCACACCAGTAGGCCGTTGTTCATCAGATTAACGGAACACAAGAATTTATCCAAATGTAGAATGACTGGCCTCACGACGGTGGAGAATTTAGAGAAATGCTCAGCAATCTGAATGCATGTGCTAACACACAGTGACACATATGGAAAGGTATAGAGCTAAAGTGATGACAGCATATATATATATATATATATATATATATGGATTGAGGGAGATGAAGTCACCTGAGTCCTTGTTTATCTAGCACTGATTATCATCTGATAGGAAATATGAGGAATAGATCTTAGCCGGACGTCATCAGCAAGTAAATACTAATGATGTCGCTACTCATTTAGACCAAATAACTTAGTTATGCGAGGGGAATTACATCACCTTGTTCGAGAAGGTAAGTTGAAGTCATTTAGAATTTTACTTGTTCATTGGTGTGATATCGTCTTTCTCAAACTGATCTTTATTTTAGAATACACATTCTCCTACGTTGTGTCATCTAAAGAACCCCGCACTGATTGGTGCAAAAAGGTTAGTTGTCATGCACGTCATGATCCGTCAGTTGGTTTTTATTCGGACTTACTGACTGATCATTCAGCGCAGCCGATTGGCGTATTTTACAACCAAATACTACGTGAAATTTATCCACGTCAGTAGGCCTGTTGTGACATGGAATGCTTCATTTTATTTAAGTACTATGTAAGGAACATTGTTGATCTCAGTGTAAAAGTGGCTGTTTATACCCTTCCAGCTCGAGACGCTTTAACCACTTCTGCTAGTAAAGAGAATGACAGAGAGCTGAGTGGGAATAATGATGAGCGGTAGTAGGTGTCGGAGATGTTTACTGTTACCCTTCTTATGTACTTACGTGAAAGGTTTACTGATGCCTGTCAGTCTGATAGACTCCGATTTTCGAGGAATTGGATAGCCACCGGAATACTATTTCACTGTATGATTTTGGGGTCGAAATTTGCGTTCTGCTGATTTCCTGCATTCCGGAGTTTGCATTCAGTGATTGGTATCCATTCTACGTTTAAGGAGAATCAGTGAAATGTTTAAATGTGCTTTGCTGCTACATTCTTATGAGGAGTCACATTAACTCCGATTGATAAACTGCTAACCGAATCTGGTTATACATGGGGGAATAAAAAGAGGACGGTGAACATGTGTTCTCATAAAATCACCTCCACCTGAAAAATTTGTGTGATGTGTGATCCCACAATTCTTTCGATGTTATTTAATGTCGGTGATATATGTGCCATGAAATCGGAGAATGCTATGACATTGGTTACTTTAGATTGCATGTCACTTCTTTTGGCATATGAAAAGCGCAGTGACTTAGTACATAAGAACGAATAGCTCAGTGACAAGAAGAATTTCGTTCTCAGTATGCAACTGTGAGGAATTCAACTTTATCAACATAGATGGATAACTATCCAAATCGAGACGTTGTACACACTTACCAGTAAATACGTATAGATACTATTGTAAAGATATATAAGTGGTGTTTCCCAATAGTTTCTCCTTTCTGACATAGCTGATGTTCTTTTTCTAAGCTGGCTGTTAAGCGAAGTGGTGTATAGTTGTGTAGACTGATGTCGATCTGTACTCCACACGCCAAAATGGCTCTCTTCATAAAGAGAATAAAGACGAAGTGAATTGCAAGCACTGTGTAATGTAACGTGCATAAACACTGTGTTGTGTTACTTTCTCGTTAACAAGTTCCCCAGAAATAAGCTAAATTATGTCTACAGACAATTAGCTATGGATGATATGCTAAAAATTTCCTCAGGAGTGTAAATATTACCAAATACCTCTTAGCGATTCCAACTGATCTTTGATTTACTTTTTGTGATCACTGTCAGATACAGTCATATTTGTTAGTTTGAATGATGAGTGTTATTCAACTTTGAGGTTGTATTTGTTTTATTTTCAATTAATTGAGATGGCTGACTTTTTACTTTTTCTGTTTTTGGCTAATGTTTTTCAGTTGAAGAAACAGTTGTCAAAGTTATATCTCGGGTTGAAAGAAACAATTGATAAGTGCTCGTTTATTAAGTCGAAAAAAACAATCCAGTTGAAAGTATCACATGAGAAACTCTTAGAAAAGGGTTATTTTAGTTCACGTAGTGTTCTCTTTTGGCGTTTCCTATTTGGTGTTACTGAAGTACAGTTAGCTAATGCAGAGTCAGGTATGTAGTGGCAAAAGTTATATTTATAAAATCAAATATGTGGCATATGTTTAGTGGATTGTTCTATAGATGTACTTTTAAATCGAAATGGTATTTTAAAGTTCATTTGCTCTGTGTGGAACAAAAGTCAAATATTTATGAGTGTCTGAAAACCATTTACGCATTATGATGCTTGTTATCATCGAGTCAGAAGTACACTGATTAGAGTGAGAAAGGTATCCTTGGCATTTCCTAAACGTTATTCGCAGCCCCTTGAAGAAACATTTCTAATTTTTCTCATTTGTTTTTTTACGAGTTGACCACAGATTGATATCAGTTACAGAACCATTGAAAACCATAAAAAGCATAACTGACCCTTACAAACCAAACTATAGAAAATTTTCTCATTTGGTTAGAAGGAACACACTTCGAAAACAATTCCTCATATCCATGAGGTTCAGAAACCTGACACATCACCAAAATCATTTTCAACAGGCTTTATCAGACTTTTATGAGTAGCTGACTTCACATAACACCGAAGAACAGACAGCCAATCAGAAAGGACAGACGACATACAACTGTGGCTGCAAACCATCTGGGAACCTACTAACCTAAAATATGCTGAAGAGATGGATGAGCGACATCACATGTCAGGCTGTCAAATGGAGCCCAGACCTAGAAGCGATGAATTATTCGTCAGAGGGCGGAATGAAGAGGATGTTATTAAAGTGGAATAGGAGCAGAAAACAAAGTACAATGCAGGCATGTCTCTGAAACCCTGTTTTTCACTCGTAACGCCATTTGTAGTATAACGGTCGAAGACAAGTGACTTGTTAACGAAATGTTTGTTAGGAATTTGGTATTTCTATATAGTGAAATTATAAAATTCATCATTTGCACACATCTCCCTTGTTATACTGTTTCTCCTTTTCGCATTGTGTTTCTTTTTCTTCATTTCATGTAAGCCATGTTACGCTGGAACACTGGTTCATTTTCTCTCTTTGACAACAAACTCATCTACACCCTTTTCGTGACAAAGAATGCCTTTCTGTATACTACTGATAAGCTTTATCAGTAGTACATGTCACAGTAGGATAAAGAACAATGATATGATAGCATAAATAGGTGTAATTTCAGAAGCAGACCATCATTTCATTCAGTTGTCCGCAGCCGATACCACTTGATTTTCCATTACCTATAAGTGTTCATTTCTTCCTCACACGATCTCCTTCGCGTGACTATTTGATCAACACCCAACCCGTCGCTTCATATTCCGGTTTTCACTCTGGTTCCTTTTGGGCGTGTGATACCTAACAATGCTCTCTTTAGCATATGTTTAATCAGTTGATCTCCAAATCCTTGTCCACATTTGTTGAATTCATTGATTTCGTTACCAGACTTCCTTGTTTTGTCTCCTTTTCATTTCTGGCCTGCCATCTCTTCTGCAGTGTTGACTAAAAATAGCTGTTGATTGAAGTATGAAGCCCACTGAAGCAAATATGTGCCAACTATACGCGCCTCTCTATAATTCTATGTTTGTAAAACAAGTGATAGCTCGACTTGTTACGGGATTTGTCAGGAGCCGACATGAGTAAGAGAACCATTAGAAAACCAGCAGGGAGTCCTGGACAGTTGTTTCATTCTGGTTTAAGACACCTGTCCAGCACGCACCCACTGGAGTTCGAGACAAGAACCTCCTAGTTACGAGACGAGTTCGTAGACCATCCAGTTACTTGTTCCCAAACAATGGTACGTGAATTTTAACGTCTGCTAATATGGGGATGTATATTTAGCGCAACTGTCAGTCAGTCAGTGTCTGTAACCGATATCAGGTCGTGATCAATCCTGTAGGCAGTCAAGCCCCTACAAACCAACACAAGAAAATTAATCTGATGCTGACTAGCGACTGGCTGTATACTGGAAGTTACTTGAGGTTCTACTGAGAAGTTGTAGCCAGCAGGATCCGTCAAGTTCCCATTCAGTGTATTTATTGACCAAGTTTCGATAATAGTCAATAACTTTAGATATAGCAGCTTTCAGTAAATGAAAACCAACTGATAAAAATCATTATACCAACAGTTTCATGAAGAGTTTCTTTGTAACATATACCTTCACTTATTCAACATGATTTTCAGGCGTTTTCGTAGCTGAAATAAACCTTTCAGTTAAACCGTTGGTAATTGGAGACTACGACAAATCAGACCGTCGATTCTTAGAAATCTTAGACAACCTCTGCAAAAATGTGAGTACAGTTTGCTTTGAAAATTTTTAAAAAATGATGACGGAGTGTAAATATATGTAGACTTTTATTTCACAGTCAGTGCCTTCTAATATTGTTGAATAACTTCCTAGTCTATTATAGCATTAAGTTCTTGGGAAGATATCTGAGGAATTCATTAGTTGTTCTTGGGAATTATATCATTTAACCATAGAAGTACCGAGATCAGGATAGACAGCATGTTCATTACTAACCGTATTAGGATATCTATTTATTTGATCAAATGTCGACTATGATATACGGAAATTTCGGGGACGATTCGGAAACTAGGGTTCACCTCCTGTGTTGGGCACTTTTTACCCGCTTCTTTCATACAGACAAATATACCACGGTATGCTTCATAAATTTCCATAGGTGTAAAGTATAACCCAACAGAAGAAATAACGGTAGTGAAGTAGCCGATTCCGACTTTCGGCGTTGTCCCTACCCCTCTCTTCACTGAAATAATTCAGCATTTATGGTGGAGTGGCAAAACCAAACGTGTCGATTGTTGTTTGTTTAGAACACGACGTGATCCGTTGTTTGTTCTTCAAGATGACGATATCATCATGGTATCAATAAAAGTGCCCTGAATGTACAGATGGAAGGCTGAAGTTGTAAAATGCTTACATCAGCCAGAATCACTAGTTAGCCAACTAGATTCAGTTGGAATACTAGCCCGAGGTATTCACTTCTGGGAAAGAAATCAGCGAATCACATCTGTGACATTTGTCAGTGTATAAACAGGTAAATAAATCACCACGTTTCATTTATTTTTAGTTCAATTTTTGATTTTCTCGTTGATTGATCAGACCAACATGTTCAGCCTCTTTTGACATGTTGACTCCTTGTACGAATGCAACATCCACGTCTGAGAACTAAGTCAAATTGATTTAGTTGATAGTGACTAGCTGTGGAATCCAGTAGATACACACTTCGCCCCATTAGGGGCTCATCACCTGGATGTATTCCTCAGTGAGTGATGGTGTTCCCATGGGGCTTGGAATCCAATACTTATCGTCCCAAACACCAAAGCGGAATCTTCTAGGAAATGAGAGTCACCAGAGACATCTCTTATGCAATGGATGTCTGTAATTATTTATTTTAAATTGAAATTTAATTTTTCCGTTGACTGGTGGGACTCACTGATCGGGAATGTCAAAAGAGGCTGGACATTTCAGTCCAATCATTCAGCGAGAAAGTCAGACGGAATTAAAAAAGAAAGATAAGTGGTACCCGCTTCATAAGGGATGGCTGTCGTGGCTCTCTTGGTCTAGAGGATAAAGCTTTGTCGTTTGATAAGATTGGTACTGAGTTTGAGACTCAATGAGAACACCATCACTCACTGAGGAATACGTCCAGGTGCGAAGTGCGCACCCTGGAGTCAACTGTTAGTCATTATACATCAAAATAAATCGCTATCTATTTAGAACATCACTCTTAAATTTGATTTCTAAATCTCTTCACTAAATTTTCTTCATTAATTTGCTTCATAGACTGTTTGAAAAGACTAGTGAATTAACTTTCAAACTTAAGAGTACTTTCCACTTGTTTCTTTTTTTGATATCTTTCATAGGTAAAAGAAGTATTGAAGAGAATAGAGCCAAGATTGAACTCAATTCCAGTGTCATGTGATATCCCCGAGTTGGATCCATATCGACTAAATACTTCTAGCAACATTATAGTACTACTGGCAATGCCACCTAGTGAAATGCAACAGGTATTTTCGACAGAAAATTGGTTTCAAAGTTTAAAATTATCCCTTGAATCTGCAAGTATATCAGAAAGTGATGAATGGATAACTGGTAAGTGAAATGAAGTCAATAGGATTATATGACGATTACTGTGTTATTAAATCAAAAAAGGGAGTAGTGAAGGCTGAATGCATCAGTTTATTTCAGTACAGTATGCATCACTTGCTCACGGGTAGAATGTTGAACAATGGAGAATTTAGCTCAGTGTTTGATTCCCGATGGACCTACTCCAAAACGTCGCCTAGCAGACCAAAAGCCTGGTAGGCAAGTAAAGTTGAACGTCAGATAAGCCACCGTACCCTGTAAGAAAAGCATGTAGACTATTGAAACCAGTGACTGATTAGGGAGCACTCGATTGCCGTGTCATTCATTCGTCAGAGACCCAACCTAACTAACTGTCTAGTTATCTTCAACTTTTAACTGACTAACTTCAATCCACCTTCAAACTTTAATCCAATGAAATCTGTACAGATTAAGTCAGGAAAATGTAAATATTTACTTCTATAGATACTTGATACCCCTCTGTGTTGTATATAGGAGAGAAAAAGGGTGGAAACAGTCTTCTTAGACATACTCGTGTTCATTGAAAAGTATAACTTCATTATTAGAGGAAGCATCTTCTGACTGACTGTTTAAGATTTTATCTCTCTATCAGTATCAGCATTTTTTACTGCCACACCCTGATGCATTACACTGTTCTGCTTCTGCACATTTACCAAAATACAATCCACGGAGTAATACAGAATAAACAAATTTATTTTTTGACATCTTTGTGGTCACTGGGGTAAGGATTAGGTCCAAATATATATTGCATTGGTGAGACTATTTTAAGGAGTAATTTTCAACAAGCTACAAAAACAAATTTAAGGACTGATTCTGGTGGATCAGTTTGCTTATCTGCTGAATTTTGAAGAAAACGTATAATCTAGAATGTCACTTACCAACAGCAAAAACAACAACAAACTGAAAGGAAATCGTCCACGTCACTTTCCTGGACAGTGTCATGTGAACTACACGTTGCGCGGATAAGGATGTCAAAGCCAACCAGGACCAGGTAGTTCATTACTCTAAAATCGGCGTGATGTTTTGCACCACTCAGAATTAGAGACAAGATTCAAATTCTTGATACCAGTGCCAAATCAGTGTTGAATCACACAGTTTTCACTAATGATATGAATTTCTCATATCAGTTTTACACCAGACTACACAGGAATTTCGTCGGAAGCTGTCTTCACTCGACACTGAAAACCAGATAGCTGACTTCAAGGGATGATGCAACAAGGAACTCTGGCGACAAATCTGGCATCCGACAAATATTCAGAAGGAAATAGAGATATACAGAAGGCATTCTAAGGTGGCCATTGAATGACATTTCGCTCCAAGACGGCTGTAACAGAGAACCTGAAGGGAAATCAACAATGTAGCGGTTTAGGAAAGATGTGAAAGGAGAATATGAGCTTTTAAATGATCACGGAGCCAGCTCAGAAAAGACTTCAGAGAACTGACTGAAATGGAGATAAACATCTGGAGCTCAGAGTTTTATTCAAAATTCGAAGAATGAATATATAAATAGCTTCACTTGTATGACAGAATTAAGAGTCATGTACATTTCACACTGGATTAAAAGATCCACAACAACGTTTAAGAATAGAGGGACATATTGTCTACTAACCATTGGTTGCATAGATGAATGTCTGTGTCGGTTTTGTTAATCACTCAATAAGTTCAAACTTTGACTTATGGTTACTTGATAGTGGATGGACAGTCTCCAGATCCTATATGCATTACAGTTATCATGTGAGATAGCTGCCTAAAAACCAACGGACCAGTGCATTGCACTGATTACAGTGAATAGTTTCGCATGAATTTTACACACACACACATGCACACACACACACAAGCACACTTCAGTATAGATAATGAACACTATTGGTGATACACACCTGATAATCTCTTTTTCCTGTTTCAGATATCATTTCATTTGAAGGTAAGCACAATAGTTATATTTCCAGTCTTAAGCATAGATTCAATCACATGCAGACGATACATATGAAGGTGTTGAAAGCTGAATCAGGGCAGACATTCACCATTCTGAAATCAGTTTTGAAATATACTACACCCAGTAGGAAAAACACAATTCTCATTTTCAACACCAATGTTAAGTCAGTCATTTCTAAGCCTTGGGCCTGTAACATTTAGCCCAAGTCTCGAAAATGCATTTCCATCAGATTAAAAACATTTATCGGCAACTACCTCCAATCCATATTAAAGGCTGGCTGGCTGGCTGGAAAAAATTAGCTGCGAAAAATTCTGGGGACGAACCAACAGAAGAGAACGACGAGTCAGACACATGCTAAAGTGACTGTCAAATGACGTCATATGCGAAATCAGACACTGAAGTGGAGACAAAAGAGGAATCAACGAGTTCTACATCCCTCTTAGGTTAACAAGTAGTAGATCATTTGAGGCAAAAATGAGAGACTACTGACGGTGGCGCGCGGCCAGGTAGAGAGGACCGTAGAGAATAAGAAAAATTGGAGATGTACCGATGATATCGTGTGTTCCACTCAGGAAATCAATAACAAGTGAACAGATTGGTAATAATCATGAATGACAAAATCATTTCTATATTTCTGATACAGCCTACATAGAAAACGTTAGGACTATTATGAAGTGAAATTTTCGCAACTTTTCTGATTAATATTGACCCACCTAAGGCCTCTGAGAGTCTGAATGATAATCACAGTAGCTGAAGCAAACAAAATAATGCTTATGTATGCTTAAACACAAAACTAAATTTGAACATTACTTAAATACTCTCAGCATTCACTGATGAAGTAACCACCTTTTAATGGAATGTTTAGATGTTTTTGTCTCACTATATATATACCCATAAGAGTTTAGGTAGCTAGAAGGTGAATCACACTCTTTTAAACTTATGGTACTGTAATAAGATTCACTAATAATTATGTATCCTTTGGCGTGAGAAAATTTCAGATTAATTTTATTCATAGGCTGGCTTAAGTAATGGAAAATATTTTTTATTTAGAACTAGCCAAATATTGTGATGACCGTACGGACAAAAAAATAATAATTAAATAAGAAGCTGTTTTTTTTCAGAATTATATGGGCGGGAGACAACATAACAGATTTTGGCTTAACTAGTAACCTTACATCCAACTTCACTGGTCACAAGGTTTCTAGACAGGTGTCATAAACAACTCAGCCACTAAAAAACACAATAGACTGATGTTCTCCTTTTAATATCAGTAAAAAGTTTGAGCATTGTGGATTAGATCGAATAAAGTATTATTACTTTTTTTCCATACTTTACACACAATGATAAGTTTTGTTATTGGTAATATTCCGAGGAAAATTACTGCCCGTGTTCACACACCAACTGTTGGAATTGTTTTATTCACACATTTATGATTTGTACTCAAATATATAAGTCATTATTATTATTTTTTGCTCAGTCATGTTTTGTGTGTGCATATGTGTGTTCAGAATTATACTCGACATTCATTCATGTGTTTGTATTTAGAATTATATTCCAAGTTGTTGATAGTTGTACTGAGTCACCCTTGTTACATGTATCCCGTGTGACCTTAATGAATATAGTAGATTCTGTTATAAGTCTCTCTTTCCATTTGTTCATGTTTGTTTTTAGAATACACACATTGTTCCAATCGATATTGTGGTTTTTGTCCCATGCATGTGCAGTTATCGATGAATTTTTTTCAAGATTTTTGTAAGCTTGTGTCCCTGTTGGTTGACCTTTGATTAGGCGTTTATGTTCATTCACTCTTATTTTGAGTGATCTGGACGTTTGCCCCACATATTTAGTCGGACAGTCAGTCAGCACAAGATATTTTGTAAATCAAATTGTTTTTATCCATCATTTTTATGGGATCTTTCAGTGGATTTATTTTATTTTTGATTAGATTCGTCGGTTTAAAGGTTGTTCGAATGCTGATATTTTTGAGGTTTCTTTGTATTGCCTCTGATGTACCATTTTTATATGGTATTGAGACTGTTTTTCTCCATTCTTCCTTCTTGTTATTCTCCGGTTTTACCCTCTTTTTTCTCTTTTTTATATTATCTTTTATAAATTCTTTAGGGTAGTTGATTTCGAGTAGCATTTTGAAAAGGATTTTTATTTCCTTACGCGTAACTGTTGTTTACAGCGTAAAGAAATAAAAGTCCTATTCAAAATGCTACTCGAAATCAACTACCCTAAAGAATTTATAAAAGATAATATAAAAAAGAGAAAAAAGAGGGTAAAACCGGAGAATAACAAGAAGGAAGAATGGAGAAAAACAGTCTCAATACCATATAAAAATGGTACATCAGAGGCAATACAAAGAAACCTCAAAAATATCAGCATTCGAACAACCTTTAAACCGACGAATCTAATCAAAAATAAAATAAATCCACTGAAAGATCCCATAAAAATGATGGATAAAAACAATTTGATTTACAAAATATCTTGTGCTGACTGACTGTCCGACTAAATATGTGGGGCAAACGTCCAGATCACTCAAAATAAGAGTGAATGAACATAAACGCCTAATCAAAGGTCAACCAACAGGGACACAAGCTTACAAAAATCTTGAAAAAAATTCATCGATAACTGCACATGCATGGGACAAAAACCACAATATCGATTGGAACAATGTGTGTATTCTAAAAACAAACATGAACAAATGGAAAGAGAGACTTATAACAGAATCTACTATATTCATTAAGGTCACACGGGATACATGTAACAAGGGTGACTCAGTACAACTATCAACAACTTGGAATATAATTCTAAATACAAACACATGAATGAATGTCGAGTATAATTCTGAACACACATATGCACACACAAAACATGACTGAGCAAAAAATAATAATAATGACTTATATATTTGAGTACAAATCATAAATGTGTGAATAAAACAATTCCAACAGTTGGTGTGTGAACACGGGCAGTAATTTTCCTCGGAATATTACCAATAACAAAACTTATCATTGTGTGTAAAGTATGGAAAAAAAGTAATAATACTTTATTCGATCTAATCCACAATGCTCAAACTTTTTACTGATATTGAAATATTTTTTTCTTACCTTCACGTTCCTAAGTGGAACATTGGGCTTCAAGCTAGAAGCTTGAAGTTTCTGTAGCAGTGTTTATTTCACAGGATGGGGTTGCCAGCCTTATGCCCAACGTTTCCGCTTTACCACCATTATTTTTGGCTTGTCGAGGTAAAGGAGTACGTCCTGTGGCCGGTGATCGAACCTCGGACCATGTACATGGTCGGCGAGAGTCTTAACCACTTTGCCACTGACGCACACTATTGAAATATAATTATACTTTATTTAATGTTCTCCTGTAAAATTTGTGGTGAAATTTATATCATTAAAATAGACCAACTTTTGGAGGACTGTTGAAGTCAGCCAGTGACCCTTAAATAAGCTTTGTCTTGGTCACTAAACAGAATTATCTTTATACTTGTATATACATGTGGGTCGCTGTGTCTGTAGTCAAAAAATACCCAAATGATGTGAACAAGACTTTTGAAGTCAGGAGTGAAATTTATCCGGATGAAATACAGCTAATATGTTCAGAAAATCACTAACCTTAAATTATAATCGTGCAAATAAGGACTAAATACTTCAATATCTGTTTCTGTGCAGATTTTAATCCCAGTCTGTTGTGTTGCCTTCTTCTCAGCTCTTTTCTTCACTTGACCATTTCCATAGATATATTAATTATCATTTTTTATGTGAAAATATTACTAGAGATATTACTTAAATCTGTTTATAATTATCACCCACTACGTGATTGATTTCGGGAGATGAACATTTCTGAGAATATCACTGATTTTTTTTTTAACTTTCAGAGACGCAAAACTTCGACAAAGGTGAGACACCCGCCAATAATTGATCTTTTAAATGCTTAAGTGATTATTATTAATAATAATATTAAATTACTTGCGAATAAAAATTCAAAGTTAACAATGGTTAGTTATTCGGAAACAATGAAATCTCGTGTGTTCAGTTTTTTTTAGCCTTATTACTGAGTGAATTTTTGTTGGTGAAGGTTGCTGATTCGGTCTTATTAGGCTAAGTGACTCAGCATTGTGCTGCACTTTGATGTTAGCCGAAGGTTTGGAGACAGTTGAAGGGAAGCCGAGGAATATAAGTTTTATGATAATTGTTACTCCTTTGAAAGAAGACGACTGGTAAATGTGACTGTCAGAGAGTAAACAGCTAATGACCAGACCATTCCTTGCATTCATTCCTTAAGGAGATCGACATGTGCTGGTTAATCTGAGTGGTAATTCTACTAGCCGGAACGGTGAATAACGTTAAAGTGAATCTCCAGGAATTGCATTGGTTCCTTCTAGGATGTGGATACCCCATTCTAAGGAGTGAGAAAAATCACGTAAATAATTTTAAAAACCTTTTTGTCAATAAGCTCTAATATCAATCAAAGAATTAAGGAAAAAAAAGATCAGACTATACAAATCGATCAAAAGTATATATATTAACTTGATAAAGATGAACATTCTGGATGTCCGAATGGGGTTTACATTATGTGTGTAATTCATCAGCTAGGAATGTACTATTTCTCCACATAAACATTGTGCAAAATTACATCTGCTAACAGTTACACAATTTCACCAAACTCACACATATGGTAGTATCCATGACGGTGTATAAGCAAACCTTGCGATGTTTTCCTGAGTTCTTCATGTTTATTTATTACGTGGAAGAATGTAGGAACGGACACCATTTAAAAAGGTGTCCAAATGCGTTTGCACAAATTCAGAATTTTTCCACATTATAAAACGAACCTATTTGTAGATTTCCTGATGAATTGACAATATTTGACAGTTATATCGTCCCAGTCTGAAGCTCTCCAATACCAACCGCCCATAAACCAATCAGCGGTTCTGATCTTGTATCTGAAAAGTTGGTGTATTTAGATATGACAGCATGAAGGTCCAAGAATTCAATCAGTCTTGAGTGTATGAGTATGCGCTGTCAAGCAGTGTCGGAATGGAATAAAACAGTTTTCCTCAGTTCCCCTTGGTTTTCCGAGAGATAATTGCCAACAAAATTAAAAACGAAAAACAAAAGATTTTGACGTTCACTCATCTAATTTCTTAAAATTCTTCTGTGATTTACTTCAGGTGTATTTGACATCCATCTACGAGAATCTAAAAATGCAAATCTCACAGAATTATGCAACAAAGTTAGTTTTTATGACATTTCTTTCCTCTTGAATTGACAAATGAAAAGTGAACTTATTCATCATGGCATATTATCGTCTCTAACATTAGAGCCTATTTTGCAAATGGAAGACTTATGTTAAATACAGAATAATATTTTGGCAAATATAGAAGTGTTTTGCACAATACACACAGTCTAAGTGACAAACAGGCTGTCATTGCTCTGGAATCTGTGTGAAAATTTACCACACTCAGCATAATGAACAGTGTTCGGATTTTTATCAGTAAAGTTAGGTTGGCGCTTTTGTATAGCTCAGAGATCAGGCAGTCTCTTCAGCATAAGTATTTCTAACCAGGGTGGTGCAAACTCTCATCGAAAACTGCCGTAGATAGTTTGACGCTGCTACTGAATGGCCGTCTAGGAAGGATAAGTAACGAAAAACGTTTGCGAATAACCAAGTAACAACTTGTCACCCAGCAAATATAGTCTCATTTTGAGGTTACCACTGAGTGACATCTCGAATATCAGGCCCTCAAGTTGAACTGGAACAGAAATCGGTGGTTTTGATTCGTTTTTTGGGATAAGGTCACCCAATGTAGGCCAGGTTTCGAACCAGTACTTTATATATACTTTTTAGTTGGTTATGAATTTTCTTCCCTTGAGATGCACCGATGATCCAGGAGTAGAATGTTCGCCTCTCACGTCTCAAGTGATCCATAATCAGTTGCCTGTCGGTATACTAATAAGCCTCACCAAGGAAAGCCAAGGCATGCGTCAAGTTAAAAGGTCTCACTTTATGAAAAACAATACGAACCCTATCGAAGCTCCGAAGCTAAAAGTAGCCTTATGTTCTACTTAGAAGGTATAGGAATGAATTGAGGGGGGATGTGCAAAATTATTCTTATTAAAAATTAACTTCTGATCTAGTTTATTTTCGTCTGTTTTGTTTTAGCATAATGAAACACTATCAGCGATGTATGTAGGAATTGATAATGCGGTAGTTGCCTGCCTTGGGGGCATAGATAAAACTGCAGTAATAATGCGACTGTCATCAGCTGGACTAGTGAAGATTGGCTATTATAGTCAATATAATACCCTCAATCTGCGTATCAATGATGCTTTGTCATTGATGGACTTGACACGTAAGTGATTCATTTTAATGTTTAATATGCTTAGATGTATATATATACACTTGTAATATTATTCCCATGTGTCCTGAGGAGAACATAAGACATCAACAGCAGATTCTCATTTTGTCCTGTCCTCTGCCCTCCTCTTTAGCTGGTCCGACGACTGCTCATAAGCTCAAATCTCCTCCCAACTTGATCTCCTTCACGGAGCTCACTTTTACATGCTAGTGTTTTGCTTTGCGCCTGACGCTATCTAATGCCCTCCTCAGAGTATGTTCAATGCATTTATTTATTCGCTCAATTTATAGTCGTTTATATTACGTCATCCAATTTATCAGATGAATTTTAGTTCTAAGTTAAAAGGCATTATTCTCTACCTCAAGTCTACTTAGTTTCTCTCTGTAATAACCTGTGTCGCTATAGTGACGTGAGTTGAAAAATTCTACTATTTTATTTTTTTCTTTCACATTCCCAGTGGTAAATAGGACTTCAAGCTGATGGCTTAAAGTTTCTGTGGCAGTGTTTATTTTTACAGGATGAGGTTGCTAGCCTCATGCTCAACCTTTCCTCTTTACCAGCATTATTTATGCTTCAGCGAGGTAAAGAAGTCTGTTGGGCGGGAATCGAATCCCGGACATTTTAGTCAATTATATTACGTTATCTAACTTACTAAGTCGCTGTTTAATTAACTTTGTTTCTACATTAGATCATTCTTTTATTACCCGACTAATTATCTAAACTTGACAAACCTTATGTACATACACAATTACACAAATAATTATATATAAGTGTGATTGCACAGCTATGTGAATGAATTTGCCGAAAAGAGTCTCTTCGCTGAACGTCTTCTCTTTTTGATAAGATTCTTGATTGTCTTGTTTGCAGAGTTTCTTGTAGGTAATTCTTTCTCACTAGCTATTTGATCTCCGGTATGGAGCTAGCAAAAGCAGTTGCTAATAAAAGTCTGCAGTAGCCTTTTGCAAATGCATTTGCACGACACGTTATCAAAGTTTCTGACCCACACAGAAGTAATGACTGACTTAACGTTGATGTTAAAAATGAGAACTGTGTTCTTTCTACTGAGTGTGGTAGATTTCCAAACTGGTTACAGAATGGTGAATGTCTCTCCTGTCGTTTTGAATCTAGTTTTGACATTTTCATTCTTGACGACTGAGGGTTACTGAAATGAATCCGTCTAGCCAGGTAATTGAGTGAAGTGACCTCTTTCGAATGAATTCTGTTGGTGGTGGCTGGTGCGTGTTGTTGATTGGTTGGTTGGTTGATCTGTTACCTCCATTGCCTGTGTCTTCTATTTGCCTACTTGAAGTCGTGTTTTGCTGTCTGTTTCTTCTGAAAGCTTTTTCATATATGCACATATACTAGAGGCTGGCAATATATGTAATACGCCTTATTATTCGTAATCATTTCAATAGCACCAACTACACAACTTCGGAACTTGATTCCTAAAGCTCTCTTTCTTCCTTGTCATTTACGGATTTCGATGATAGTTATGGATCATTCCTAATGTTTGTATTCTAAACTACAGACATTACGTACAGCTACACACGTGCGTCTGTGGCACAGTGCTTAGGACGCTTGCCGACCATCCCCATAGTCCCAGGTTCGATCCCCGGCGGATGCACACTTGATATCAATGGTTGGGCTGCTCAACTTTGGGCTACCGATATCCATGCTGAAAATTCCATACTTGTACCAAAAATATAATGTGGAATCAAGTTGTAATAAAAAAAATATAAAAAAATACACACAAACATACAACAAGGATGGGACAAGATAACACCCTTGAAATCTAATGACTAAAACTCTTATTATCAAGTCATCTGATAGATGAAAAACTTACCGTATGGATGACTGCTTTAACATTCAAGTTTTGAAGTTGTATGGGTTACAATTAGTGAAATAATTATGAAAAACACTTGGTATTCGAAACATTTTCACTCAGTAAATAATACTATTATACCGCATATAAACTTATTGGGTTCACTTGTAAAACGATCACTAGCAGTGTATTCTGATTATTTAGTCTTATAGCCCAAGTCAAGAAAAGCAATACAACAGCCACGGAAAATTTAGTCTTTTCCCATGTGAGGAAACAAAAGAATTGATAAATGGAAATTTTCCGACTTCAGTTACCGATTACATAATCACTTCAGGAAATAGTTGAGAGGATAATTTTTTTGTCTCATAAATTAGTCATTATTATTCCTTTGCATGCAGACTGGAGCATATTAGATCAAGTTAGAGCTTTTGAACTTCATTGGCTGCAGCAGTGTTTTTTCCCTACAGAATGGGTTGTTAGCCTCTATCATACACAATCTTCCTTCGCCTACTGGCTTACTAATACCGGCTGAATTAGATTATAGCGTGTGTGACAGCATGAAATGGCATGAAAAGACCACTTGCGATGTCGTTATTCCACGAACATTCTATCACTGTCTTACTGTATCATGCCAGATAGAGTTGCATAAGCACTTATCATAGTTTATTAGTACAAAACAATAACTTTCCAGAACAACAAATAAAATTGAACAACTGATATTTGGCTGCTAATTTGTTTGAGTAGGTGAGAAACAGTCACATGAGATTCTGTGGTAAATGTAGTAGTAGTAGTAGTATTGGTATGAAAGCAGTGTGAAGGAAACAATTTTTCTCTGGATGCTAGGCTAAGTTCAATATAATTTTTTTGTATTATACGTGTGATATTAGGCATTATTTTCACACGCTTATAAAAACTCCACCATTCTTATGGAATGTTGTTATGATTGGTACTAGAAATGACCTTATGTAGTCCAAAACCTCATATATATATATATATATATATATATATATATATATATATACGAGCAAGTCGCTTTAGTGAAACCGATTTCATGAGTATTGTGGTGCCATGAGATATAAATTATCACAGAAACTTATACATTTACTCATCTTATTTCTGATCGGTTGTAATACACTGAACACAGGTAGGTTGATCATTTGTTAATTTCGGTTGATTTCACTTTCATGCAGTTAAAACATTTTTTTTAATTATCTGTAATTGTAAGACTCAGATACTATGCTAGTCTGTCACAAGTTTGTTCATGGCCTGATTCCCGTTAGTTAGCCATTAAAAACGAGTACTATTTCCTCCTCATTTGAGGCCCTTCAGTAGTATACACCGATGATCTTCCTCCCCTGGAAATCAAACCCAGGTTCATCGTGTGACAAGACTTAGCTGTTTGATCTTTCAACCATTTCGACAGAAATACAAAGGACGGTCAAAAATCTTATCTTATTTCCTTCACGTTCCCAGTGGAACATAGGGCTTCAAGCTATGTGCTTGAAGTTTCTGTAGCAATGTTTAATTTTACAGGATGGGGTTTCTAGCCTCATGCCAAACCTTTCCTCTTTACCAGCATTATTCATGGTTCAGAGAGGTAAAGGAGTGCGTCCTGTGGCCGGGGATCGAACCCCGGACCATGTGCATGGTCGGCGAGCGTCCTAACCGCTATGCCACAGATGCAATGCTTGTGACCGTCTCGAGGGAGGAGACGAGGCTATTTGGAGTACCTGGGCATCGATCCTAGTACCTCTCACATGCTAAGCGAGCGCTCTACCATTTGAGCTAGTACCCTGGCCGGTGAAATCTAACCTCTGTTTATCTGATTTATCCGGTAGTGAAACAGCATCATTCAATGTTTAAAGTTTATAAACCGAATGTAGCTTTCATAACCACGTTTAGTGTAACTAAGAAAAACTTTGAAACTCACTTTTTATCCCTTCTGTTCTTCTTTCGAATCTATTTGAAAGGTAGTAGAATTTTCCACATCTTCTAAATAGGTGATAAGTTAATTTTTTCGTATGTCTGACCATCTGATTCAATATATAAAGCTTTAAAATAACCAACAAGGGGATAATAAAGTAGGATCTAATGCCTTTATATCAGACTACTATAGGATTCTTCAGCTGTTTTGTTTTGCCAAGGCGTATTTCTTTTCAACGACTTCATTTTCAAGCTGTACAGTCGTATTTTTATTACACATAAAGGCAGTAAGTGGTACTAGAAATTTCTCAGTCAGTATACAGTATTGATAAGAACAAAGATAATCCACATAATGTTTAAGGGGTAGAGTATAAGTGAATAAATTACAAAACGTTTGAAAAATATTAAATAACTGAATTGATATTTAGATTTCAAAAGTAGGTCAAGTGTTGTCTTAAAAACTGTGAATACGATGATAATAACAATAAAGAAGGTGAAGATGAACTGAAGTCGTGAAGTAGAATAAAATAAAATAAAGAGGTTCAACAAAACATTTTTAAATACATAATTTATATTTCTGTCCAAGTATAGCCAGGGTTTCCGTTATTGCATGAATGCAGTAAACGTAGGCTTATAGAGAAATTCGATTGGGTCCTGTAGATAGTTTTCAAAGGCGAATAACGTGAGGCTGAATAACCTGACTCCAGAATGGAGTTCACCAGTTGAAGACTTCATCATCCAGTGCTCGCCCTTCATTAGACAAACTGAGTGTTTTTTTTTTCGGAGAACTACGTTCTGTATAATCAACTCAATACAAGGTGGAAATGAGTGATAGTTTGTTCTTGATGCACTGTCAAATCACATTTTTGGCTGGTGAATACTGAACATAAGTCATCTGCATGAATAGAGCGCTTGAAACGTTTAAATGAATGACTTTTAATGACTTCAGCACTAGTGTCACCTTTGAATACCAAACTCTTAAACAGTGTCTTCTTGTTTCTGTGACTTCGCTGTGAGCAGCATCTTCCTTGATGTTTCTTTTAATAATTCTTCTAGGATATCCACTAATTAAGGGGGTTGTACGAAAGTTTTCCAGTACTATACCAACCGAATCATTAGAGCAGAATTTTCGAATTCTGTAGCACAGAGAATAGATAAGATTTCTCTTCATGTCTTGAGTTTCCAAATTATGGAAGCCAGTGTAGTACCCTGTGAAAGTTGTCTTTCAATAAATGGATATTGGCAACATGCCTTCCT